GAGTTAAATAAATAATTGAGTTTATTAATTATTCCAAATAGTGTTTAAGATGTATAGTATGGTTTTGAAAAACCGTACTCTACATAGCGCATAAAAAAGAATATCCTTATCAATTACAATTATTATACAACCTAACCCAAATATTAACCATTTTGCGTTTTATTGAATTAGGTACTAAACACTATTCGACCCCTAGGCCTAGCGTAGACATCTAGCACATCATAATATTCGGACTTTTATTTAAATTAATTTTTTTTTTAATTAATTATTCCTTAAACAACAACAGTCAGGCTGCATTTAATCACTATCAATGTTAAACATAACAATAAATTATTAAATAAAATACGATCTAAACGAATCATTACAAGAGGCACCTCTCGTAATGTATTCAGATTCGATTAATTTGGCCAATAGTGCAACTACAAGATTTGAATGATAAAAGCTCAGGAATATTCTTCAAATACAACTTTTAAATCATTTTTAATTATTTTAGATGACCCTAAGAGGTCTATTTTTATTTCAAACAAAAATACAGAGTACAATTCACAAAAATGTAGTAAAACATTTTGCAGAGTACCACACAGTTCCACTTAAGGACCCCTTCTTTCTCTATTATCAATGATATATAATTACCAGCTAATTATTTATAAAATACAGCATTTTTAATTGGTTTTACGTTAATTTCAGAAATCTGCTTTATTAAAATCGTTATAACTTTACTGGATTATTGCAGGGTTCTAATTTGGAACCTCTTCTTATATTATTATATTTGTCAATTTTCTAAATTCATGCTATTCCAAATTGTGATCTGCCAAAAATTAAAAATTTCCAAAACGATTCTGTATTTGTATTCTAGTTTAAGTGTTTCAAGTTAGGTTTCGAATTGGCATGTTTTAAAATAAAAATAGACCTACTAGGCTGTCTAATAACTAAAATAAAGTTAAAATTAAGAAATTTTACGTTGTAAAATAATATTTCATTAAAATCGACTCTTTATCAAGTAAATCACAATTTCTTTATGATTTAAAACCAAAATAATAAAAAAACAGTTCAGTTTTATCGCAAATATTGCAAACCAACTGTTCTCCACTGAAGTTCCATGATTATCTGAAACAATTTACCATATTGCTATTCTGATTATCTATATTCATTTAAATGAAGAGCATTTTATTGCTGTATACTATAAATTTGAAACAACATACTGAAAGACCATATCCGATGAAACTTGTGATACATTTGTCATTATTATGAGACATTCTGAAGGCAATCCTAATTTGCAACCAAAAATACCTATCTATTGATATTTGGTTGTTCAAGAATTACCTCGAATGCTACGTCAAAAGCGTGGCTCATGTCTTGTCATAAGTAAATGGCAACTGTTAAACACATGGTCATTCGAGCCAAGAGAACTAGGGATGTGCACGAGCTTGTAAAGTTCGAGCGCTCGCGATCAAGCTCGAAAAATTGCAGCTCGAGCACGCTACAACGCAGCTTCGAACAATACGAGCGCATCGCGTACCGGTACGGCTCGAGTCTCTTATGATCCGAGCGTTCCGTACTCTGAATGAATCATTTAACATTAAAATTAGTGGTGAAAAGTGATTAATGTGTTTCGGTCCCCGTAATATAAGTGTGATAAGAATAAGTTTTTGACTTCATTTACGTTTACAGTAAGTATATAGGATTTTTTTCATTCGAATAAATGAAAATTATTTGATATTTCGAATAAGTAACCAGTTGTAAACTCGGTCCATCTAAGCAATGGAGTGCTCGAAAACATTATCACACCTTGTACACGTGATCTCTCTGACGATGCTACTTTTACAGAGTCACACTAAGGGACGATCGAGGTTTTATTAATTTTATTAAATAATATGCAACTAGGAATGGAAAAATTACTCGATGATAAGTTCATTACCGAGAGTTCGAATGATTCGGAGTACGGAACACTCGGATCGTTCGAGGCTCGAGCCGATACGCGAGGCGCTCGAGTCAGATATTATACAGGAGCCGCTCGGGCATCGGACTGGTCGTACTGTTCGGAGCTCCGCTCGAGCAATACAAACAAGAACCGAGCCTGCTCGATCAAGCTCGTGCACATTCCTAAAGAGAACCTAAAAATATCAGAACAATACAGGAATGTGGATGGGATAAATCCAAGAACAGTTGAAGTATTAGAAATAATTTACGCCACGTGTCACCACAAGTTTAAAGGATATGGTCGCCTGATGGCAGGTTTATTAATTATAGAATATCCCTTAACTAGCTGAATCTTGCACTATTAGTGGACCCTGTAAACATATATAATCTACAAATAATTCATTTTTGTTTGGAAACTCAAATTCCGTAGCCTAAAGTTGTGCTAACTGTGCAAATTTATTATCAAATATCAAAGTATTGGTCCTATACACGACCACTGTAGCTTAGTAGTTGATTATATTAAATAGTATTTGCGATGCTTATTAAAATGATATAAAATTTTAATTGACCTTTCTTCCGAACAAAAAGGTTTTTGATAATATTATTAATTAATTGACTAAAAGTCTAAATGGAAATGCTTTGCAAATACGCTTTCCTTTATCTATTGTTGCAGATATAAGCTATAAACTTTAAATATACATGTAGATTACTGAATAAAAAGCTAAAGCTAAATTTAAGACAAACGAATGTCAAAATTGACCCTACATATTCACTCAAACCTCTACGTGGAACAATAGAGAAAGAAGAAGAGAATCCAGAAGCTATATTCCTTTAGTGAATGAGATATTTTCTTCTCTGCAATTCATTGGTTTTTATATAATACTACTCAGGACTGTGTTTAAAGTTTACTGGACGAAGGTATTAGCTGGCTAATAAAACAATTTGTATCTACCTCGAAAGAGTAAAAATAAATAAAAAAGAAGAAAAATACCTTTTTCAAAAAATAGTAGAGTGGAAAATAATGAGAATCATACTAGGCCTCTACAGAAGAGTAAGTCCGGATAAATCGGGTAAAACATCCTTTCTTGTTTTACTTTCACAAGATTAATATATTTTGTATTAAAAAATTAATGGTGATAAATCAGGTAGAGAAAATATTTGCATTGGGACTCTGATGAAGGTATTCTATAGGTAGAATCTATCGCCTCAATTTCTATAGATCAACTATCAGGTACTTCATGCAGATGCCTAAATATTTGGTAACTACTGGATAATTTACATCATGTTTGCAATATTTTTTATTTAATTTTATGTTTGATGACATAAAGTGTTTTGTGATTTTTCGCGAGTGTTTCGTGTTTTATAAAGATGAAGAAACATTAAATTGTAGTTAATTATTAAATCTTAGTTTAAAAAATTGTTAAAGATGTTTTTAATCAATATGTTAATGTGTTAGTTTGAAGAGGGGGACAAACTTCAAATTCGGATTGAAATAAATCTCCAAAAGAGACAATTGCAGGATAAAATCAATTCAGAGATGTGTTACGTTTATCAAAGGCCAAAGCAAGATATGTATATAATGCAATGGTTTGAAATTTGCTCAAAAATCATCACTTTTCCCATGTTAAATCCCATAAGATATTCTAAAGTTTATTTTGGAAGAAACCGAGACCAAACTAATACCTTTTTAAATTAAATGTACGAGGGAAATCCTAAAAAAATTTGTGGGCTGAGGTATGCACAAGATCTTGCCTCAATCGACTTTTTTGGATACCCGTTCGTATACTTCTATATTAAAAGGTTGTGGTTTTATTAAGTAATAAGTCCTTTTTGTCGGTTTTTGTAGGAGTATTCGGTAAGTTTCATCCACATTTCTATCTACTAGGTTAATAAAATACGCAAATACTAAATAATTCCAACTACATCGTATGCTGGATTGCGCACAATTTACAAAAATATCTTACCTACAAGATTATCTAAATATAAACCATATTAAAAGGATAGATATTATTTTTAAATTCATTATCCCCATAGCAGGAATTCACAAAGCTCGTAAAAACTAGAATAACTTAAAACTTAAAAGGTATATAAAATAATTTAAAAAAAAGCTTGATATAATTAATATATAGAAATATGATTAGTATCTTAAATTTTAGCTACCAATTAATCTCGTCATTTAACAGATATATGTAAAGGCCTGCAATGTAACAATTAATTAGGCCTCACAGAACTAAAAATAATTTACAGTAGCCTTTTATAAGCTATACTGAGCTGAAAATTATCCTGGATTCTTAAACAATAAAATAACCATAAACACTGGTCTTGGTATTAAATTTAATATAAAACATTATACTATTAGTTAAAAATTAAAAAAATAGAAGCCATGATATAACTTGATAGCTACCAAAGGAAATTGTAAAGGCTTCCATATTTTCGATCAAATTTGATTAAATTTTCTTGAAGTTACGAATCCACAATTATCTAAGAATTGGGCGAAAGTAAAAGACATGGAACCTTTGAAAGATATCGAGGATTCCAAGTAGAATTTTCAGTTCATTAGCTGTCTTTAAAATGACCAATTGCACTTTTTTGTTGTAATAAATCATCAAATAATTAAAATTGTTGATACTGAGGGTAGCCATGTATGAGTTAATTTTTATAAAAGTGTAAAAACGAAAAAAACAGTCCTTTAAATGTCACAAATATAAGTATTATCTGGCACACTTAGTAGAGGAAGAGAATATTTGTGGTGAACATGATTAGAATCGAAATTTGAATATACAAGAGTGCAACTTTTTCCATAACAAATAAATAAAAAAAAACACGTTCTGGGTAAATAATCCATAGGGATTGAGCCCAAATAGAGACAAAAACGAAGAAATATTAATACAAAATAAATTGTTTTTATTAGGTTTATGAAGTATAGCTGTCACCATCCTATTATATTTTCTTTTTCTCCATTAGTTGTACCAGATGAAGTAAATTTAACATCATAACCAGTCACATTTAGAAAAAAAAAATACATATCTTTGCGACATTTAAGGTTCTTTTCGTTTCTTCATCTTTATAATTAAAATTGTATCTGTCAAACTCTGTTAATTCCCCTGGCATGTTCTTAGAATAGGAAGGACCACTCGTATTTGAAGTATTTAGATGCCTTGTTCAGTGCACTGTGGTCAGTACAATGTCTTTAGTTAAAAGATTTCAGAACATTTAAAAACTTAACGATTAAATTTAAGTACAATCTCAAACTGTTTCGTCAAATAAAAGTATGTAAGTTTGTATCATATCAATTACTAATTTATGATAAATCAAATGTTTGATTCATCTCGTTAAAAAAAAAATGTTTAAATAAGTGTTCGTTGAAAAATGAGTATTTTAGTTGTTAAATAAAGTCAAAATTATCTGAAACGTGCCTCGAAAAATCTGTACCAATCCATCTTTGTATACAAAAAAAATAAATTCCATGCATTTAAAAAATATTTCAGGCAATAATAGGTTTACAGAAAAATAAAAATAACTTGCAACGAAATTGTTTTCCTTCCATTGTCTGGTACAGATTTTTCGAAGCACATCAATATTTAAAAATGAAATATTTTCGGTATATCTTTCTTCAAAACTGACACTTTATGGCACAATCGTCAAATTTAGCTTTCAAAGCTGATCGTTTTCGTATATTTTGTATGTTTTTTATTTTTCTACGTGGTAGCCTTCGACTTCATACCTTCATAGTATGTATTAATTCCAATAATACGCCATTGTCTCTCAAACTTATTTAAAGCCAATCCGGGAAATTTATTAAAATATTCTTAAAACTTGTTCAACAAGTCTGAAGATTGGAAATGACCCATAGTCTCAACTCTCTTCGATCTAGTTTTAGAAAGCGTCATGACGATGTAAAAGCTGATCAAAAGAAATAATCGAGAACATAAACAGAAAGAGCTAATAGCAACGTCATAGTAAAAATGAGCCATTAGACATCTGGTTGAAGATAATTCAAGACAAAATACAGTATATCTAGGTGAAGAAAGATACTGAGGACCCAGATATCCATCTATTGGATCTGACTTCCCTTTGTGATCCATTTAGTATCTCATCACAATTGGTATTATACTAATGGATAGAAGACTCCAAATATTACAGTTCTCATTTTTAAGATGTTTTAAAGTCAACCAGATTGTTTTAAACAAAATAGCCTTGTAAAAAAGGTATACAACTATTCAATATGCATGTGAGTACGTGGGAATCACACAAGAAACATGAAACACAATTGAATGCAACATAAATGAATTAAATTATCTCGGGAATTTATGTAAGAGAATTGAGGAAATGGATTAAACAGGAATGAATGGTAAAAGGAGAATAAATGACGATGATGGAATTGTTGAAAATGAACTTAGGGAAATATCCACAATGCTGCGTGGCTAATTTGAGAGAAAATGGTCGTCATAAAGGGACAAATATTCCAAATGTGAATATTCTAAAGATACTTATTAGCAGTACTAACGAGCGTATGCAAAATCCTGCCTAAAACGTTTTAGAAAACATTAGCAAAATTTTTTATCACTTTTTTTTTAAATATAATGTTTAGTTAGTTAAAAAGTAAAATGAACTTGCAGTACACCTCTATACAAAGTATAAATAACGTTACTGTCGAATTTTAGATGTACTGTAAGTTGAAATGGACGTACAACATTTATTTTTTTTTTTGTTACATCTATGTTTATATTAAATGTATATATTTTATATATAATATGTATATTATATACATATCCCAAGTTGAAAAACATACAAAACTCAAAAGGAGATGACAATTCATTAGTAGTGGCAGTTTTTTTTTTGAAAATACCCAATAGCTGTCGAAATGAATTTGATTAAAGGGTTATGACGATATAAAAAAATACGTAATTATAGCATTATGTGCGTTTTTATGAGTATGTTGTAAACGTTTTAAGCTTTTACTATTAAATGGAAGATCATATCCATAATTTTGCTTGAAACTCCTTTAATGAGCAATTAGAGATCCTCCAAATTCTTGTCCATTTCTTCCAGGAATTTATTTTCAGGCGTAGAATTCTTTATTTGTTGTAGTTCTGCTGTAGGAGTTGGAATTAGGCGATTGCTTTGGTTCTCCTAATGCATAGGAACCCTCATCTTTTTTACGCATTCTGTAGACAATGAACATTACCACTAATATCGCGCACAATAAGCCGACAACAGCGCCTCCTGCGACAGCTGAAAATGTACAAAAATATTTTAGTAACAAATACCTTATTTATTTTTATCATCATAGGAAAAAATAGTTAATTTAATTATTAAAGGAAGACAAATGTCCATATCAATTTCAGCTTGGTATAAAATACAAAAGAATGTATTGGTTGCTAGGAAAAAATTCCAAAATGCACTATGTATAAGTTAAGATACTGGGACCCAGATAACCACCTAACAGCCAAAGAAACGCTGTTAGATCTGACTCCTCTTTGTGATGCATTTAGTGTCGCTCAAATAACAAGAGGAATTACAGTTTTCATTTTCAAGATGTTTTAAGGTCAGCCAGATTATGTTTTAAACAAAATAATCTTGTAAAAAAGGTATACAACTCAATATGCATCCAATTCCGTGTGAACCATTCAGGAAACATGAATCACAATTGAATTGCAACATAACTGATTTGAATTTATTCGGGAACTTATGACCTAATGAATTTATTCCTATTAACGAAGTTTTTCAACTCAAGATTAGATGTAATTAGGGCTGTGTGCCAAGTGGCCTCCCCTACTCGACCTTTTCAGATCTATTGAGGATCTCCTTTAATCGTTGTTTAGAGTACCTTGTCTAATTCGTTCTTTTGTAGTAGACTCCATAGACTAGGAAGTAGTTCTCCAGCGTAGCTAGTTGCCCTTTGGTTTTTCTTCTCCAAGTGTAAGGAATCTCAATCTTGATAGACCTAAGCAGTATCACAATACATGTTGTGCAGTTTCCTCCTCTTCTTAACAGAATCGGTACAAGGTTTCTTCTGGTTGTTAAGTCTACAATGCCCTGTTAATAGACCTACTAGTACTCTAGTATTAAGGCTTAGTAGATGCTCGGTGAGTTTAGGCCATGGTACTTTTAAGAACTCTTTGGACTGTCTCTGTCCTTGTGAATTTTTCCACTATTCCTGAGATTTTTTAAACATCCGCTGCTTTGTGCATGTTCTGATAGTTGTCTTAGTGACACCACAGAATGGTTATGGACCATTTCAAGCCATTAAGTCTCCTTCACGGGTTAATAAATCAGCCTCTTCTTTGCCCTTATGTCCTCTGTGGCCTAGTACCCAGGCTAAAGTTAGTCTGTTTTGACTACCCAGCTGTTAGGGCTTCCAAACAGTCCCACACAAGCTTTCAATGTACCTGTATAGAACTGAATGCTTTTAACGTCGCTTGACTGGCTCAGTATATGTAAATGGTTTTTTCATTTACCTTATGCCTTAATACCTCTTTTGCACAGTGATGTATTGGCTCGCTGTAGTTACGTCCATGCAAACTGCTTATGGGTGATGGACCTTTGTGCAGTCTATATGTGATAGACCTAGCTTCGCCTTGAATGAATATATGTAGAGGTTAAGCATGACTTTAACTGCTGTTGGAGTCGTTCTCATGTCTCCCGTGGTACTGAGGCATGCTTGCTTTTGAATACCATCGAGCTGTGGAATGGCTCCAGCTTGCAGAGTCTTTGGCCACCATACCACTGACCTGTAGGTTATCATAGTCCTTATGACTTTGGTATATAGTCATAGGAACATTTTCGATTGTAGTCCCCAATTTTTTCCACACAACCTTCGAAGTTAAAGGCTGTTGTGCTCTTTTGGGTGACTTTTTGCAAGTGTTGTCAATGATGACTCCCAAGTATTTGGCCTCTTGAGCAAATGCAATCTTCACTCCTTTCAGTACAGTAAAGTGTCTTTCTGTGAGCATTGTTGTTTTCTCCAAGGTTTTTGTATAGGTTTCATCGTCTTTCCTGAGAAATCCTACCTGGTTTGCAGTACTCTCTTTAGCTAGGAGTTTGTTGTGGGTTCTAGAGCATGTGGGTGTTTCAGCTAACTTCACAGAATTTCCTCCATTATTGTCTTTTAACCTTTCTTATCTCCTTGTTGTACTGCATGCCGTTTTCAGTTGATTTGACTTTATTAAATAGCCTTCGCACTTCAACTCTAAGGCGTTCCAAGTGTTTGTTCCATCAGACTGTTTTTGTTCTTCTATGTATAATAATAATAAACTTTATTTGCAACTTCCAGTTTTTTATACATATAAAAATATTCAGAAAAAAAGTGCCAAAGAAGGCTGCAAAAAGGACTGGTGAACAGTGGATACTGATCAAAGCACCAGCCCTGAGTATTACCAACGCCACAGGACATCGTACAAAAAACAATATAAATATAAACACAAATGATAGTGAGAAAAAAAGTATAAACCTTCTAAAAAGTAGCTATCACTCTGCTGTGTCAAGAAGAAACTTTTTGTAAAATTTTTTAAATTTACTTACAGACATTTCTTTAAAATGTTGTGGGATAACTTTGTACATTGCATAAATATTATAAGTGAAAGACCGTCTGAAAATAGCAGTATTATGTATTGGAGGTGAGATACGACCACAAAAACGTAGATTGAGGTTATGAACATCAGAACGATACATTATTTTATTAAAAAGATATGAAGGGGATTTATGTAAAATAACAGAATGAAACAAATTAGCCGAGTGTAAGTTTCGTCTGGATTGCATATCTAGCCAGTTTGAATCCTTGAGTTTATGAGAGACTCTATCAAATTTCCGTATTCCATAAGAAAATCTTAAACAAGATTTCTGTACTCTCTGAATTCTAATTATGTCTGCGTTATCTAAACAGGGCCCATAAACTGAATCACAAAAGTTAAAATTACTCAGAACCAGGGAATCTGTTAATAACAATTTTGTTGTAGTTGGAAGAACATGTCGATGTGGGTAAAGCATTTTTAAATTCATGTATGCTGTTTGGATGCACTTGTTAGCGTGAAGTTTAAACCTCAAGTCATTATCAATTACTAAACCTAAATTGCGAGCAGATGTGGAAAATGATAAAATATTCCCATCAACTAGAATCTGCATTTCATTTTGTAGTTGATGTCGGTATTTACCAAATAACATTACTACACTCTTAGCTGGATTAATATTAAGTTGATGAATATTTGAAAGTTTAACTAGTCTGTCAAGATCTTCATTAATATGATTATTAGCTTCTAAGGAATCATTATGATTAAAAGAAAATTTAACTTGAGTATCGTCAGCATAAAAAAATGGCTTACCATTCCTAATGCTATTCTCAAAGTTGGAGGTATATAGTGAAAATAATAATGGTCTTGTTTTCTCTGGATAATTTTCCTAGTCTACTGCTTGGTCAAGGCTTTGTTAACCTGTTATTTCCACCACACCCTCTTTAAGATATTCTCCAAGTAATTTGAAAACCTTTACAAGTTCGTCGCTCTAGGGTTTATATATTTGATTCAATCCAAGATAAGTTAGGTTAGAATAAAAATGATTATTTATGTTTTTGATTAGATTTTGATAATCGTAAATGCTTCAGTTAGGGTATTAATTATTATTATTATTATTATAGCTCATGCATGGGCAACCCACGTCCCACATTGGTCTGTTAGTAAATGTTATTTCAAGAGGTTTGAATCAAGGCCAGCTTCATCAATTCCTGCAGGACTTGGAATCAAAAATATAGATATTTTTTATTGTCAAATTTGCGAATTCAGTAAGGACAAATTTTTGAAGTAATTTTATGAATTAAGAGAAGTGCAAATTTTCATGGAATTAAAATTGCAAAACACAAACCACAAAATTGAAACTTTTTATCAGTATTAAAGTAATTCAATTTGACGTTGAAATTAGTAATATGCAAATCATCTAAATTGTCATTGAAACATCAAGGAGTTTATGCATATAAAACTATTTTAATATATTTATAACATGGCTGTATTATAATTTTTTATTACTTTTTCATGCATATTATATCTAAGTTAGTATTTATACTAATCAATAAATTTATTTTTCATACAGATGTTTGCATTAAATTTATTTTTGATTTTTTGTATCTAATGTTAACTCATTGTAATAATATACATAAAATAATGAAACTTTAAGAAATACATCTTTTTCAATAAGGTTTAAGTATTTCTAATGTTACATAAATTAGTTTTATTTTTATTTATATGTAAAGCATAAAAACGGTTCGAAATTTAAGAATAACCTGCATTTTTCTTGTCCCTGCATTAATACAATGAAAATGGTTTTAAACAAATGCCAAAACAATTTCCATTAAACATAGTCGTATTTTATCTCGTTTCAGCAGTTTAAAATAATGTTTAAGAATAAATTAAATGATACAAATTTTAAAATCGAAACATATAGACATTTGAATCATTTAAAATGGTGCATTTACATACCTGCAATAATGCCTGGTTGGGCAAAGAACGATGTAGGACGATCGTCAGCTTTAGGATTCATCTTTACAGTCGGGTCAGTTGTAGTATTAGGTATACTCTTTTCTTTATTGGTGAGTTCAGACTCTGATGTGCTTTTAGGAGGACTGGGCTCTACTATGATTCTAGGTTCTATAAAATATTAAAGGTATATTAATTCATATCTAAAATTAGTAATATTTGACTCTGACTTACTTGCTATTTTTATCTTCTCCTCACTAGGATCATCTTCATCATCTGGTCCGTAACCAGAACCACTTGATTCGAGATCATGGGTTACCTCTCCGTTGTAACCACTTCCCTCAATAGCAGAGTCATCATTTATTATCAAATCACTGTTACTTCGTTGATTATTATTCTAAAAAAAAAAAAAATACATTATAAAACATATTAAAATTAATTTTAAATAGAAATTAACATTCGTATGCACGCATTCTTAATTTCTGAGAATAAATATGAACAAGAAATATAAGGAAGATCATTTTGAAAGGTTCGAATAGTTAAAGCTGTGGTATAATTCTGAATAGTTGGATATAGACATTGTGATGGATCTTAGATCATTTGCTTTGGCCATGTCCTTGTGAATATCTTATGAATGCATGAAATAATCGTGGTCACAAAAGGGAACCTTGGAGAACTCCAGTTGGGATAACAAAACAATATCTTAATGATATGTGTGGAAAAAATAAAATTTACAATTTTTATACTAAGAAATAAAATAAAAATCTACAGAGTTATAATATTTATAGGAGGTTAATGATGAGAAACGAATGAAGAGGAGAAATTGATGGTTGAATTTAAACATGTAATATATGGTATTTAAGTGTTCATTTAAAATTATAAAGTGTTTGATTATATTTTATATTATTCGGTATTTCATTATTAATTTCTGTTCCATTATAAGAAAAGAATCAATGATATAATGAGGTTTAATATTCATTAATAACTAGTAACGGTTATGAATATCTTCGGACATGTAAGACCGTTCATAGAGGGGGTTCGACCGGTACAAATTACCAGGGCCCCTAGGGGCCCAGCACGCAGCACCTATTGCCGTACAATAATTTTCAGGATTTAATATTTTTGTTTTACTGTGGTGAGGCAGAAAAAATCTTTATTTTGTATATTTTATGCAATACAAATTATGGAATACACAAAAAAGTACGTTTTTTTTTTAATACAAATAAAAAAAATTGGCCTGAGGCGGTTTTTTACGACTTTTGGGTCAAAATTTGGACACACCACCCAAAAATACAGTGTGCCGTCCCTTTAAAGAGCCCTGTCGGGATGGCAGTACTGGTGCCCCTGCGTGCTCTGCACGCCCATGTCGATATGTATGTGTTTTGTCTGTGTATTCATTTAAAACTGATTTTAAATTATGATACTTATTGTAAGATAATTTCTATTGTAGCTCATGCCTGAAACTTAGAACACCTGAGAGTATAAAACTATTCATGGCATTATGCAGAAATAAAATTAATGTTTTAAGTTTAATATTAACCACTTGCAAGGTCAAGTTTACATCATCTTTTGAAATTGTTGACCCAGATATATCGCGTCATTATGGACTTCCTCTGAGTTGTCAACAAACACTAATCTAATCTGTTTTTTTTTGAATTGGTATAAGTAAATAGTGATTTCAAATGTTTTTGTCGAAAAATACAGCTATATGGCGGATTTCAATGGTTAAAGGTTTTGGTAATAGTCAAGGAAAAGCCATCATTTTGACAAAATTCCACAAGATACTTTGTATACAAATTATTTATCATATAGTGGATTTTATTTGTTGCCTAGGTGTAACTTTTTTGCACTAATCGCATTTGATTTGTTCAGTGTAGCTTCAAATATTTGACAGTAGCACACTGTAGCATATACTTTTGACAAGTATGACAGGTCGAATACAGTGTCGAGTGTTACACTAGTGCAGCAAATAAAATCTACTAATTTACACTGTTGATTCATACCGACGTCATAAAACACAAGCAAAACACTCGGACTTGATTTTAAGAAAAACCGTTTTTTGCCTCTTCTGTAAAATTTCTTGAAATGGAGTTACACACGTTTCGGGTTTCGCTGTTGATATGGTGAATTTTGTTCTGTGAGTCTTAATGTTTAACTTTTTATATTCAAAATCTGCTCTATTTCCATTAAATGTTTCTTTATTTTTGTATAAAAATATTAATCATTCAAATATATAGACACTATACGGTCAAAATTTGTTTCAATAATTATCTACATGATTTCCTGTAAGGTAATTTGTAAATAATTCTTATTACCTTTTTTGTGCATTAAACACCTCTTCCAAAAGCAAAAAAATTAAATTCATTTCCTCAGAACATAATCCCATACCGTAATACTGAAAAAAGGGATATTATAAAATACCCACAATATATTTTACAAAACATAATATTTTTTAAATTGAACAACCTATTTTACTTCAGTTTTAGAATGACCTGGTAATACTGTATTCAACCCTATATTTTTGAAAAATATTAATGTTGCCAAGCAATTAATTTTTTTTTAAATTACAGAATGATGCAGGCTATAAATAAAATCATCCTAATTTAGATAGGATAGCTATAATTTCAAAATTGTTTAGGTACAAGATACCAACCTAACGAAAAGTGATGATAGAAATGATTAATTTTGTTTGTACAAAGTATTTTGATACATAACATAAATGTGACTCATTTTAAGTTCAATTTACTCAATTTTTTCCAATGCAACTCCCTGTGAGTAATTAATCGATAGTTGTTTTATTATTAGAGATACTAACAAATTTTGAACACAAAAGTTTTACATACTGTTAATGACCATACTTTAAATATACATAGTATTAGTCAATCACAAATTTTTTAAACCAAACCAATACATTTTTCCCCTTTTATTTTCATTCCCAAAACTATAAAAGGCCAAATTTCTAGCTGACAAAATTCCGAACATTACCGACTGATCAGTGGCACCGTTTAAGTAGAATTAGATAATTATTTGGCAAAAAAATAAGATAAAAAGAATTAAAAATCGACCGAAATTTGATGGTAGGATGTCTCTTTCAAATATCACATCAATATTGACTCTATATAAAAGTGTAGAACCACTTTCAAAAATAAAATAATTATTTTACATAACAAGAAAATAAATCACTTTAAAATGTTTTCAAATAGTTGTATAACCTCATAGTGTCAAAATTCATTACTCCTACCAAAGAAGGAAATAGTTATTACTTTGAAATGTATTTTAAAAGACTTCTTATAACATATACCCACTAAAAATACGGATTGATATCCCTCTTCCCAACAAGGGTAAATTGCCCTAAGAATATTATAATCATTTTATCAAAGAAGGAAATGAGTTATCACTTTAAAATGTATTTTAATTTAATATGTACTTCTAATAGTAAACAATTCTCTGACTCTATTTAAACGGCGCTATTGATCATTAGGTAAGGTTCGTAATTTTGTCGGCTAGAAATTTTCTGCTAGGTTCAGACCAAGGCGGGTGTTTAACATGTAATTATAACTCGTATAAAATGGCTGTTAGAATAAATCCTTGTTTAAAATAATTCATCAGGAACAGAAGTTGGAAAGGCTATTCTCAGTTCTCCCACTTCATACACAGGAATTGACAGTTTTGCCGCGAAGCTAACCGAGTGAATGCGATACATTGGCGTAGAAAATTATTTTATAAATGCTGTGGAAATTTTGTAGAATTATGATTTGGGCTATTATAATACTTGTTTAAATAATTATTTTCTACACCCACATGGATATTAGCTTATCTACGTACAGATTACAAAACAGAAAAGTATGATATTGCCTTCAACTGAACGAATATATTTCATATCCATTCTAGGTAGTAAGAACCAGAGCTGGGCAGCATTTATATTTGTAAATACTTATCAGTATTTAAATACTTAAAAGTATTTAAATACTAGGTATTTAAATACTAGGTATTTAAATACTTTCGGGTGAGCGGTATTTGTATTTTCAGCTGCAAATACTTTCGTAAGTATTTAGTATTTTAATACTTTTTTTAAATATTCTAAATATTTTTTAAGAATTTAAATAATTTTCCGGCATTTAAATACTTTTCTGATATTTAAATACATTTCTGGTATTTAAATACTTTTCTGATATTTAAATACATTATACTTTTCCGATATTTAATTACCTTTTCACCTTAAAAATAAAAATATATGTTTTAACAAGTTTCAACTTATTAAACCAAACGTGCGAAATAATCTGGATGAAGTGCTGAAGTATCAGTTCGTATTTAAGCGTTAGAGATTCTTCATTGTGCTAGTTTTCAAGTTGTGACTGTTGTGATTTGTGTTACAAGATTAAAGAAATAAACCAAGATAAGTATTTACAATGTTGCCAGATAAAAGACTTTAAGCTGATCGAATACAATAGCGAAAGCAGTTATAACTGGTTTTGATTGGTCAGTTTTGGCTAGATTTGGTTATTTTTGGTTAGTTTTTGGTTGATTTACTCCCATATTTTCTCAAACATTTGGTAAAATCGTAAGTTTGAGGTTTGAGACATTTAAAAAGCAAAATATTCACTATTTTTTACCTTAAAAACTGCTGCGTAACACGCATTTTTTTCATGCAGTGTGCTTATAAGAGTATGTACTTTAGTACGTTTTTATTAACGCGTTTTCCTGAATATATGTATGTATGTCTGTATGTTCGGTATACATTTTGCAATTGATTTTAAACAAACTTCCAATTAGCTAGAGACTTTATTTTATTTTTTATATTTTAAACATAGCTCAGAACTGGATGGTAATTGATAATGCAGTTTTATAGTATCTAAATTAATGAAGTATTTTACCCAGAACTCCTAAGAACTAAATTTGTTCAATGCTGATCCCGTTCATGTTATCGGAATCAGCTGAAATTTGGTAAACATATCTAAACTCAATCACAATGCAATATTATGGTGTCCAAAAGTTAAGAAGTTTGTGACATATTCATATATTTGTTTCTTATTTTTCATTGGGTATTCACCCCTTGAAATTTGTGCAGAGTTTTTGGACACCCTGTATATATTTGTTAACATACCAAATTTTGAAACGTACTAAAAGGATAAAATAATATTTTTTCTGTTGTATTTATTAGCTATGTACTCTAATCTTGGTGTTAGGCCTTTAAGAAAATTACATAATTGATTTATTAATATGATAGTATTTAAATACTTTTTATGTATTTAAATACCTTTTCAGTATTTAAATACTTTTTAAGTATTTAAATACTTTTGTGTAAGTATTTATCCCAAACAAGTATTTAAATACTGTAGGTATTTATTTAAATACCTTTTGCTTTAAAAAAGTATTTAAAAGGAAACTTAAAGATTT